AGGTAGGTATAGAGTACGTGTCTGTACGTACCGTACTACCACCGTCGTCCGGTCCGACGACAGGAAGGAAGGAAGTAGGAGTCACGTAGAGTCTAATAAAAAGTAAAGTAAAGAGAGGAAAATAAAAAAAAAAATTGTTTATAGACAAAGATGCCCCCTTGAGACGCTGGCCCCTTCCTACAGGGGTGCTGGGCAGGACCCCAACCACACACTAATCTGCTTGGGCCCCAGACCCCTTGCTGGGTTTCTCAGACCCGTCCCAACCCCATACTTTCTACAGCCCAAAGGAAACAGAGTTCTTTTAAGTAAATCCATTTTTTTTTTTCATGAGGGGGCCACACTTTCCAGGACCACTCCAGGCAGCATTTTCTGTCCTCAAGGGGGCCCTCTTGGCCTTGCCTTTCCAGCTACAAGTTGGTCAGCACAGTCTGCCTGGGACCTACGCCTCCATAAGAAAGTTCTCGGCAGTAATTGACCTCGGGGGTGGGGAGGGCGTCTCAGCACCAGCCGCTCAGATCCCTGCGCGCTGGAACCCGTGCGGAGGGGGCAAGTTCGTGTACAGGCATCACTCCTGCCCAGTGGTTTTCAGGCTTGTGGATACCCCAGGTATCTTCCTGATTGAGAAGTGGGTCTGCAGGTGATTTCTAACTAATAATGAAGCACTTCAGTGGGGCACTGACTTGACTCCTGCAAGAAGCAGATATCAGGTTACCCCTGTGTGAATGTCACGCCGACTCTTCCCTTCTAGAGTAGAATGAACTCTTTGCTACGGGCTGTGAGATTCTGAACAACCTTCCAGCCTCGCACCCCAGGCCTCCCATCTCTTTTCTGCCTTCGCCCATCCTTCTGGCCTTCAGCAGGTCCTCAGATGTGCCAAGCTCTTTCCTGCATCAGAGCCTTTGCACCTGCAGCTCCTTCCGCCAGGTCACCCTGCCCGGACCCCTGCCTGGTTCTATCTTCTGCTTCAGGGGTCGGCTTAAAACTGAACCTCTTTCTGGTACTGACTTGGAGGGGACTTCAGAGAGCCTTGGGGAGTTGTGCAGGGCTGGAGATATTCTGTTATTGATAAACACACAGGTGACAGGATGTACGTAGGTAAAAATTCATTGCGCTGTCCACTGAAGATTTGTCGACTTTACTGTATGTAATAAACCATAAAAGTTGAAATCTAAAGGAACCAATGTCTCCCTCTTCCCTATCTCCTGTTCTTCCTTTGACTCTCCACCATGGCTTGTGCATTTCCATCCTGGCCCAGTAATTACGCTATTGGTTGGCTTATTTGTAAATTGTATCTCCCATCGGAGTGTAAGCCCCGCGAGGAGAGAGCCTCTGTCGGTCCTGTTCACGGAGGTGACTTCCAGAGTGTAGCACAGTGCCTGCCACACTGTGCATACTGAGAAAATTAGCGAGTGGAGAGACGGGAGGGTGAATTAAAAATCTTGGGTTTAATGATGGAGGGAAGCAGGGGTAGAGGAGGTCGGCCTGAGTTTAAAAGCTCCCGACTCCCAGTCCCCGGAGGACAGTTCAGGGGTCTTGCTCTGGAGGCACAAGTCTAGGAGCCACTGGCCTCCTCGGAGACCCAGCACTGGCCGGCCTACACCTCGTTGGGGTTGTCCTGGTCGGCGTAGATGAGGAAGCCCGTGAAGAGGCTGTCGGTCCAGTAAGGGTCGTAGAAGAGCCCGTTCTGCTCTGAGTAGAAGATCTGGAGCCAGACCTCGTCCCCCTGCTTGAGAGCCAGGATGGTGGAGCCCGAGGCCACGTCGTGGTTGCCCGTGTTGGCGTCGAAGGTCCGGATGCGGTACTGGCCGTTGTGCACCAGGCCGATGGCCAGGTGCTTGTTGGCCAGCGTGATGTCGTAGGTGAAGTAGTAGATCCCCGGCACGCCGCAGACGAACTTGCCGCTGGACGCGTTGTAGTGGCCGCCCTCGTTCATCAGGATCTTGTCGAACTTGATGGGCAGCCGCTCCCGCGGGTAGCTCTTGGTCACCGCCACCGAGAAGGCCGACTTGGCGTGGCCGCTGCCGCAGCTGCAGGGGCCCGGGAGGCCCGGCTCCCCCTTCTTGCCCTTGGGCCCCTTCTTGCCGGGCGTGCCGTGCTTCCCCGGGGCCCCGCTCACCCCCTTGGGGCCGCGGGGGCCCGCGCGCCCAATGGCCCCGGCTTTGCCCTTCGGTCCTGGCTTTCCCCGGTTACCTGTCCGGCCAGGAGGACCTGGAAGACAGAGCAGCTGGCGTTACGGAGGGGACCTCGGAGAACAAGGCGGAGGCTGCTGGCCCCTGGGCTCTCCATCCTTGGAGCACAAGCCTTTGGGCAACGGAAAGAACAAGGAGGCTGCGGAGTCGCATAGAACTGGGTGCACATCCTCATGGTGTAAACTGGGGGCGCTTCTCCCAGGCTTACCTGGAACATGGGCATGGTGATACTGACCTTCCAGAATCCTGTGGATCAGGGCAAAAATAATCGGTAACAATTCATGCCCTTCCCTTTTCCTGACTTCCAAGGAAGAGTCTGTTTTGTCTGCCGGATCAGTCCTTCCACGGGCTGTGCTGGTAATGGGTTGAGATGGGAATTGGTGCTGTACACCAGAAACGGACACAACATTGTAAACTGCCTATACTTCAATTAAAAAAAAAAAAGTATTGGACGAAGCCGTTTGACTTCAAAACACTGACTCTAGTGAAATCCCCGTGTAGTGCCCAAGGTCCCTGCCCACGTGTGCCAGGGCTTTTATATCAGCACAATAGTTTTATAACAGCAAAAACTAAGAACAACTAAATGCCCATCCAAAAGGAAGTGATGAAAAAATTACTATCCATCCATTATGTGCAGGAGTTTAAAAAATGAGGCAGATTTATGTGCATTATATAAAAATTTCTCTCAAATACACTGTTAAGAGAAAAAAACAGGTGGCAGAAATTTTTTTGTTGTTGTTAAAAAGAAACCACAATGCTATTTCTATACCCATTTAAGCACCTGGCACACAGTAAACACTCGCTAAATATACTTGGCATATCTTGCAGAACATTTCCGCAGTAATGTTTACTTGTAGAATGGTTCTGGGTTTTTAATACCCATGTTCTAATAATGTGCATTTCACTGAATAGAATATTTTTAGCTGATGGTTATGTAGGAAACATTTATATTTTTGTCCCCCAAGCTCAATACAATATTTTAGACAAAACATATGTGGGTAATGACTGGAGTCACGTTCAAACACAATTTTGCAATGGGTACAAAGTGACTGACAGAGTTGGGTGCAGATGTTTTGAAAAGCATGGCAGGTATCAATCAAGGAGCCTGCCTCTGGAGGTTGCTGGTGCTAAGCTGCATCCTAGCATCACTGGCCACAAAGATAGCGCTTACTCACCAGCCTATGAACTGGGTGATCAGAAAGTAACGCTGTAGGCACTTTACATCCTAACAAGGCACTCTGCTTCTTATTTGTATATATGCAGGCATTTCACTGTGTTTTAGTTTTAGGTTAACATGCATTTAAATTTTTCCTATTTTAAATAATTGGTAAATCAAATCCCAAATAATTCTTTTTTTCCCACTAAACATCTAGTTTTCAGTAACAGGATGCTTATGCTAAGTGTCTGGCAGGGCTGGATATTATTATTATTATTTAAATTTTTATTTATTTATTTATTCTTATTTTTCCTTTTTCAGGGGGCTGGGTATTATTATACACATATATAACTATGTAGAAAGAGGCCAGGAAGGATGAACATTTTACCAGTTGATATTGGTTACCTCTGGAGGATGAGGGGAGAATGAGGAAGGGT